CACTGGGAACGAGGTCCGGGCTGTAGGGTGAATGATCAAACACCTCCCAGCTGAACTCCTGCAGGAGACTCGCTGTCCGTCGAGCCGTGTGCGGCCGAGCGTTATCACTGACCGCACTTCACAGTCGGCGGGAGCTGGAATAAGAACCTCCATCTTCAACAGCTGCAACGATGCTACGGTGAGAAACCATCCTCCATCTGCGTCATGGTCCCCGAAATTTTATATATATATATTTCGTTCTTCAACCAAATGTTGTGTGAATTTCTTTATTCTTGCGTGATAGATTTTGCGTCAATTTATTAAGCGAAAAGTACAAATCATGAATCCAAACCATGCTAGCCGATTCTGGGTATTGCGTCCTGGAACTCGAACGTACGCTATCGATTTCATTCCTTCAGCATTGCATGAGGATCCTTTTCAGGGAAAACTGAAATTTGAACACAAATGGTCGTCGCATTCTAGGCACACAGGCAGTCAAAAAGAACATAGTTGAGGGTCAGATAGTACGTAGGTATATTATCCACTTGGTGCTGTAATATGATCGCGATAGGAAGTAGAAACTGATGAGTTTTCTTTCAGGTGCCAGTGAAGCCAGAAGGGTCTGAGGTGGGGAAGTTGGCACATTTTCTGGCCGCCTGCTTATAATACAAACATCTGTTCTCTGTCAAGTACATGTCTACGAGTGATAGACTCTATCAATCAAGACAGATTGGCTCCAGCTTCAGCTACATGAATACGTCTTATAATCAATACATACACAATTTAGTGCGTCGCCAGCTTTACACATACGAGAGGACCTACGCAGGCTGAAAAAGGACCTTCACAAAAGACTCTGTGTCTGTGTGGATCTCAATTTATTCGTCACTTTCAGGACAGTTGCTGCACCAACACCATTAATACGGCTGTGTCAACGTGGGAATTACATGCTTTTACCTTTTTCTTTAAATTGGTTTGTTTGTGACGTGTAGCATACTTTATTTTCCTTTTTAATGCAACTCAGTCTTAAGTTAGAAATCTGTACTCCTCCCCCAGTATTGTCAGGGTGATTAAGTCGAGAAGAATGAGATGGGCTGGAAATGTAGCGCGCATGGATGGGACAAGAGGTGTGCACCGGGTACTGGTTGGGAAGCCTGAGGGGAAGAGACCGCTGGGGAGACCTAGACATAGATGGGAGGATAATCTCAGGCGGGATCTGTGGGAGATTGAGTTGAATGAGACTGGATTTTTTTGGCCCAGGACAGGGTCCGGTGGAGGGCTTTGGTTAATTCGGTGATGAACCTTCGGGTTCTGTAAGCCATCTAGTTAGTTGGTTAGTTAGCTAGCTCAGTCTTAAGTGATTGTATGTCCGTATTATTCTGCGTTACTTAGTCACGAAGATAATTTTTCCAAGTCTTTGGTCCATATACTGATATTTTGTGGTAGTACGTGGTCAGTGTTCGTGATGCCATAAAGAAGATGAACGAAAATTAAGCGGAAGTGATAAAGAAGAACACAGGAGTCCACAGATGAGTTATGAAACCGACACTTAGTGCACAGTGGCGTAATATGACACAGACCGAATCGACCGGAGTAAAATCTGTGATTTCTAAAATTGAATTTTTTGTATTAGACGTAAGGGAGACGCATTGAAGATCGAATCCTATTGAGACTCATTGGGCTTGGAGAAAAAAGTTTCTGATAAAAATATATATGCTTCTATTACTTCTCTTCTCTCTGCTCTTCCTTTCACGCATGAAGTGACGCTGATATTGGTACAGTAAGAAGCGACATTTGAAGACAGCGATCTTTTTTATTCCGTGAGTGATCATCTATATTGTCTGGTTGTTAACGGTACCGGATGTTAATTCTACTGAAACATGTTAGGTGTGAGCGTTTAGGAGTTCCTGTATCCAAGAGCACAAGTCAAAGAGGTCAGTACACCACTGTCCTTAAGGTTTTCAGAGTGCTTACTTCTATTACACGTTAGTGAGCTGCTCTTTGTGGTTATCTGGAGGAATTTCGGAAACCGCGAATCAGTTGTTATTAGCCGCGTTTAACACGGCCGCAAGGAACGCTCAGTTAGCTTGCTGTACCACGTCGACGCCTCTACACGATCGCGTCCGTACCTAATTGTGATTAAATTTTGGGTTTTCGTGATCGAGGGACAACCAGTAGTTGATTAAGTCTCTAAAGTGGGTGTGTACGCAGTTAAATTCGTGAAAGGCAAGAAATTGTTTCAGAAGTCTCTATAAATTAAATTGTTTAGATTGTCCATTGAAGTGCATTGGACAAACAGGTCGCACGTTTAAAACTAGATCGTGGGAGCATAGTCAGGTCACACGGAACACATACCATGGAAATTGTGGGGGGGAAAACCGAAAAGGAGAAGTTCTTAAATAGCTTAGAAAGATATGTATTCCGAATCAGATACATATAGACCAGGTACATATGAACGACCTTAATATAGACCATAATAATCCTATGTTTGCAGTAATTTATCGGAATTATGCAAATAAATAGCAGAACATTACTACCGCTCTCTCTTCATGTCCCCTCCATTTCACTCAGGAACTTAAGTACGTACACAGGAAACATCACCATGAGCACAGCTCCATTCCAAAACATGACACAGAACCATGAACACGACATGGCGGAGGTAAGATGCCATATAAATAAAAACTTAATTTTACACAAAAGTTACTCTAATGTCGTACAAACATACGGACACATTTGACAACAAGAAGACAACGGATGAACTGTAATAATCCACTGGCACGGAATCAAACATCGCCAGCAATATATTATATATTGTTTGTGGGCATATATATTTTCAAAGATTTTCGAGATATAAGCAAGTCGTTTTATAATGCTGAAACGTGCAGTAACTTAAAAAATGGGCATTTCATAATAATATTTGAGACTTTGTAAAAAGGGGTATACAAGAAGGACGGAGATATTTAAACACGAAGAAAATGTGAATACGTCATAGTATTATAATACAGGATCGATTTCTGATAAATTATTCGCTTACTCGGGAAGATTGTTGTGACTTAAGAGAGGTCTGAAGTAGATCAGTATAGTCACAAGGTTACATTCCAGATGGATGAGTTTCTGTTCCAGGCACGTTCAATATATTTCTGTCAGTCGCGTAACGAGCTGCATTCTCCCTGGAGGTGTAGCGACCAGAGTGTGCAGCCGGCAACGTACCTCCCTCCATCTGGTGCCGCGGTTAAGCATCCGTGAAATTATACTCTCAGTCCTTCTTTATAGAGCTCAGTTCAGTAAATGATTAAATGAAATGTAAAAAGTGTTTGGCGTTGTCCGTCTTTTGAACTGTAATATTTGAAATTTTCGTATACGCCGTTTCTGGAATTTACTCCAGTTCCGTTTCAGGTAATTGGTTGTCATTATACGAAACTGAAAGAATTTTTATTTCAAGTGGCCGTTTCGGTGATCTAGTGGTTAGAATACAAGGCTAGTATTCAGAAGGTCTTTCATTCGACCCCAATCGTCTCTACTGATCTTTAAATATAATATTGTAAAGAAACCTATCAGCTAATCACCCGAATGTGGAAGTAAAGCCGACTGCCTTATCACAACCAGTGGTGCTTAGGCGCAGGGTCGACTTCTTTACAGCATCAAATTAAGAGAATAGTGAGCACGCGTAATAAAGTTAATTGGTACAAATATGTCTTCTGGGATGTCTGTAGTCTAATGTGGTCTGCTATGTAGTCTGGTAGAATTTTACCGGTACCTTGATGATGGAGGTAGTAAGTACCTCCGAAATGTCAGCAAATGTCTACCAGACTATACGGCAGTCATCTTCATATACGTCTTATAGTCCGTAGTTTTACATCGGACTTTTCCGTCATACTGATAGAACACGTTGAATCATGAGGTATGTTTTCCAGAAGTGAGAATAACCTCTGAAATTCCGAGGGAGAGAGACAGAGAGAGAGATAAGCAAATAAAAATAAATAAATATGTGAATAGGCCCACATCTCGGACTGCACCCATATAAATATGTCTGGCGTAGAGCGTAGGCTAGCGCACAGTGTTAAAACTTACCTTGTCTGCGTTCCTTCATCTGGGGATCCCCACTGTGCAGATTGACGGTTTGACATTTCTCAGCAGTGCATAGGCATGGGAATTGATTTTATAATCATTTCAATAAGCAGTTGTTATTTGCTGGTGGACAATGGAGATGGACACAAACCGATAACCACTGAAGATGGGCTATAGGTTACATGAGAGAGGACACGAAAACTACGCGGAAAGAAAGGATGGGCAAAACGGTGGCTTTCGGGCTTCATCGACGTCGATTCTTAATCTTTTCCCTGCTACGCACGAGATGACCCGTTTAAAGCATAGGTCGCAGCTAGTATGTTCTTGTAATTTAGTTGGCCTTCGGTATTGCCAGACAAGCATATCCTGTCATAGCTCAAAAATTAAAAATAAATATTATTTGTGGCTTTTAAACACTGTAAGTCTCGAATTACCATGGAAACAGTACGCTGACAGAAGTTTTATTTTAATAAACACCACTTGTAAAGAATTCGTTAATTGGAGCCCGTGATTTAGCGAACGTGATTATCCTTTGAAGATGGCAACTGCAAAGTTAGCTGAATTACAGTAGGGCCTATTATGTAGACTTTGTTATACTTAAAGTGTGTCCACATAGTGTATTTACGAGTTTGCTGTGATTCTTAGAATAAACAATGATTGTTATTTCCATAAACATCATTAACCAGTTGTTCTTAGTAATAAAGTGTTGTGTTTTCTTTAAGGTATGGACTAAATTTTTAACTTCGGCTTCAAATGGTTAACCTTAATATGTTCTGAATACAAAACGTTATTATTTAAATCAAAATGTATGGAAGTAGTTTCATATTTCTCTTCAAAGTAGCTCCATTTAATTATGAGTGTAATACATTTGTGTTAGAATATTAAGTAATATTCATGGCTTGTGTGTCACAGACGATGACCCTTGTATTTATTTATTTATTGTTGTGTTTTTGCAGGGTTTGGATGACGATGACTCCGCTTCTGTTACAACGGTAAGTGTCCTCTCGTATAATATCAAACAATAGCCCCCACTTGGCTGCCTTTCTGTCTGCGTACATTTGTTTATGGTATTTTATGAACCACAGGAAGGACACTCCATTGTTTACTATTATGACAATTTCTACTGCATTCTTTATATGTGGCATAAGAGTCACTGAAATGTACGTTACTAAACGAAAAAATGGTTGAAGTGTAACAAATTATTTGTATTACTTTTATGGTTGCATATATAAATTTCATTGACCAACAACATGCTTTAAAATGTTAATAATATGTTATTATCACTCGTAGTTTTCTTGCAACGATGCACTTTTAATATTAGAGGACATTAATTAATATTTTAATAATATATTCTCAATATCTGTAAGCTATAATTGCGCAGACAGAATTGTTTGCTGTGAGACATAAGGCAAATCTTTGTTATCTTGAATCTCCTTCCATAAGCATTTGTTTTGTAGTGGTTTTTCTGTCTCATACCCCTCATTATTTACCCAAATCCCTTAAATTCCTCCATGCCGGAAACTAAGCCCGATTGAAGAATGGCAGAAACTTAAGGCCAGAACGTCAGAAACCTGTCCCGTGTTCGAGTCACGGTGAAGGTTGCTGTTGTGTGCTACTCCTTGAGCCTGCGCAAGAGCGACCGCGGAAGAAGGAGGGATATAAGCCGCGATGTACAAATACTACAACAAACATTTTTTCGCTAATAAGCAACACCGCGATACGCAAATACGCGAACGAGTAGGGTCTCATTTATAATATTACTGTTTGTTATGTGGATGCGAAATTTGGCCCCTCACACCGCTCGGAGACCTGGGCGTAGATGGAAAGATAATATTAAACTTGGTCTTATAAAACAATGTGAAAATGCGGACTGGATTTGAATGGATCAAGATAAGGACCACTAATATATTGGGTTTTAATCAAAGTAGTGTTATACATTCAAGGATTTCATGGCGGTAAACCTTCTCACTTGATGTCCTCAGTTCGTATATCGGCTCTTTTAGGCTCCTCGCGCTGTCTGTGCTGCTGTTGATGTAGGTCTCCCAGTACATGTTTTGTAATTGTAATCGACACTACACAACACCGAATAAGACTGTATGAAAACGTAGCATGTTAGTACCGTTATATCAAATCCATTTATTTTCAGTGCAGTGTGTAAGGATTAAGCTATGGCGACTAGACGCCATGTTGCTAATGTAAAGTGTCATATCATGAAGTACATTTGTGTAACACGCACTTCTGTTTACGAGTCGCAGGAAAGTCATGACCTCTGTCCTCAGACCTCACTCATTGGTGGTCTTTTTATCCTTTTTTTTTTAGATTATTGTACAGCGTCATATTTTATCTGGGGTTACTGGGGTTCAAATCCCCGCATTGTATTACCTTTCACAAAGGACAGGGAGGAGAAAACGAGGTATAAAAACTTGTCAAATACCGAACACAAAGAAAAGAGTTTTTTCTCTCTGTTTTATGGGAGTGATTCTAGTACTGGTAGCTTCTCTCGTTCTTCCGTTGTTTATCTTAGGTCCAGACATTTTCCTCAGGACTCTGTTCTCAAATACAATCCATGTTCAGACCACAGTGTCTGGTCTTGGTAGTTAATTTTCTTCGAAGGATTAGAATTCCTCATTTAGAAATTGTTTTCCTTACGTTGTTAACGATAACACGGCCCTGATATTCGTATTGCTTATTTTTTATATCCAGATTGGATTTGCATAAAAATTAGTACGTATCGAACTTCTTTAACCTACGTTTCTGATTTTGTAAAGAGAAACAGAAATGTATCACGATATCCATGGCTTGTTTCTTCCTACCGAGCCATTTGTTGACGTATTTGAACGATAGGTGGTGCGACTTGAATCTCAAGAGGCCACACGAATATTTATAACGTTTTAATTCCCGGCGTAAATTGGGTATTATGGTGAAAGTGTGAACTTCCGAGCCTGGAGCTTTACAAACGCTACTTAATATAGGTTCCCTGAAATGTTTTTGAAAGTAATAAGTCTTCAAACAATACGCAACGTTTGTAAAATTTTGTTTAGTGTAAAACAACATATTAGAAGCGATTCAGGTTAGTTAGAAATGGTGATCCATTGGCGTTTGTTGATGTTAAATTTTGTAAGGAGATAGATCATCATATTACCTTTTTTTCTTGCATTAGAAATATTTGAGGTAATGTTCGTCAAATTCGAGTTAATAATGATCTGTGTAGTGTTGAAATTATGTACAGAAATGGATCACTAAATAAAACAATTATTAACTTGTTGCCTTACCCTTACCGTTTGAAGAAAAATGGGTGTCATAACTTCTTCCTATAATTTTTTATATCCATTTAGACGATCATAAATTCAAAACGAAATAAGACATTCATGAAAAAATTGCAGAGAACACAAATGTTTCTTTCTGCACTCTCTTCCTGGTACTTTTTTTTAGTTTCTCTCTCCAGCTTATTATTATTATTATTAGTTTATTTATCTTTGTTTTTAAATCCTAATGGCGTCTGTAGATGCAATGATGTAGTCAGGAGAAAATTTGTTGCGATAAATTATATTTTAAACTGAGTTATGGAACCGCATCTTTTTCCGTTGTCTTCTCAGTGACTTTTTATAATTTCCGGGTGTTCATCGCGCTTAAAATTTTTGGTTTTCACAGCGGTGAGTATGAAGATTTCTGTCTTCTGGGTTGTTGCGCTGTTGTGTCTGGTCGATGATTACCAACGTTTCGGAGGTCATAATGCCTCCGTCATCAGGGCGTTATTATTTTTAGGACGTAGCCAATTCGCATGACCGGGGCCATTGTCACGCAACAGTGTGAACCGAGGTTATAGTTGAGCAACAATGAGTCGCAGATGACTTAAATGTGTTACTGGATCACATTGATGTTCAACAGCAACCTCGGACGACAGTGCGACAGCGACCTACTTGATTTGGCGTGAAGAACACCTTTGGAATGTCTTCAAGAAAAGCTCTGCACTGACTAACTGAAGACGCAGTTGAGTTTTTAGTAACTCTCTAAAGTTTTTGAAGGTATTATTTATGATCCGCCTTCCTTTTTGAGTCGAAATTGCTGACACGGAGTGAAAGTTTTATTTGCTGAGTCGAATTGTGGAATGCATTTGTGTTCTAGTGTTTTAGCATGAACTTGTGTATTTAAGATTTTATTATAATATTATTTATTCTTCCGTGTAGCCCACTCAACGACGTTTAATATGGTGCATGAAGGTGACAGTCATTCACAATTCAGGCATTCGCAAATAAATCAACCTATCGGAGTTATTTGTGAATGAGTACAATATAATACCAACTCACAAATTAGGCCGCAAAAACTTGAGAGATGTCGTCTTGATATGCCATATTGAATACATTTTTCTGGACTGAAGGATAAATATTATTATCAAATTTGCATTTATTGTTTGATGTGGGTTTATGTCCCGCCTGAAAAAGAATTTTGGCTCCTGCAGCTCGACGCGAAGTCTCGGGAGTGGCTGGTCTTTTCCTCCCAGGCGAACTACCAGGCCCTGGCCAAGCTCGCTGCCGACAATCCTCGTCTCGCCAGGTTCAAGGTAGGAAAGAACTTGTCTCTTCCGTATTCTAGCTGCTCCAAAATGTGATGTTCAAACGAATTATCGTTGAGAATTATCCTCGAAACAGCATTGTCCGGCAATCACGTGTTTGCCAGGTGCGTTGATAGTTGCTTGTGTTGTAGTTAGTTTCGAAGGCGCCAAAGATGTCTGTGTCGATAAAGCTCTTGAAATTTTGAAGTTTTGTAATTACATATTATTTTATTTGACATCGAAATTGCACCCACTTCAGCATTTAAATATTAACCGACATTTCAGTTTCTCGTGTTGACGAGGATGAATACGGTTGTCTTCCGAGTTGTAGCGCCGTGTACTCTGGCAGAAGTTTACCAACGTTAAAGTGTAAACAGTTTTGTTTGTATGCATAATTTTATATTTTACTTTCGGAGGTCCTTGCTGCTTCCATTATCAGGACGCGTATCGCTCTGAATCTAAAAGAATCCACATTTTATTTATGACTGGTTGTAGTGAATAGGCCTACAAGTTAACTTGCTCAAAACATAGCTCAAATTTCCACGATTTGGGCCCCGTTATCAGAAATATTGAATTGATATAGGATTTTTTGGTTAATCTTTGATTTATTAAAATACTTTTTGTATATCATCTCTTTGAACTTTTGGCATTAAATAACCATACTATTTCCGGTTATAAAAGATGCACTTGATATAAAATTCTCTACTCTGATCATGTACCGCTGTGTCGAGGGCAACTCTATTTTTGTTTTAAACCAATATTACTGTTTTATACAAACTTAAGACATAAATGCTTGTTGTTTTATTAAACCGAGCTGACTCTAAATTAAAGTTTACAGGACGTCCGGTGATTACTGTTGCATTGTAATTAACTTAAAAACAGAAACATTTTGAAGATTGTGGTTTAATATGAAGACAGGCCTCTAGAGTTTCAGTACGTGTTTTTTTCGGGGGGGGGGGGGTAATTCTGTGTTCATGAAGCAGTAACTAGTTGAACATGTATTCAATAGCGGCGATTAACCTTGCAGTTAACAGGTGAGAGGAATTGATTGAGGACCGATCGTAAACTTAATTATGTTTTGCACCTGAACTTCAGGAAGAAGGTGCAGGCTCTACAATAAGAACACCTAGATTTGCGGAGTAAGAAGTTAGTCATGCCCAGGAATAAAGTGAAGAATGTTCCCAGCATTCCTCTCTTTAATCTTGACTGAGGCTGTGTGGTCCTCTGAAACGTCGGCAGCACACTGTGACATCACACACAAGCAGGATCAATATTACATCTGACAGCTTATCCCCCAAAATGTTACCCTATGAAGCAATCGCAGCGTGAAAAGAATTGCTCGCCTTCATTCAATGTGTGGTTGTTCTTCTCCAGTTCCCATGCACATCCTTATGGAGTGGTGCTTAGGCGTTGGGACAACTCCATATTCACTTAGTACTTAAATGATGATAACTCAGTCGTACAAGTTCGGCTGAGGTTTCGTTCCCGACAGGGCAGAATTTTTCTCTCCACCACAAAGTTCTGATGACAGAGGCAGCAAGCATCTTTGAAACGTCGGTAAACGTCTACCAGACCAACACGGCGCAACAACTCAGAAGACAGCCATCTTCACATTCTCAGTCGTGAGAACCTCAAATCTCTTATCCTTTCAGAAGTCCGTAATTTGTACCATTTGAACGCGGTGCTGTAAGCATAATGCTAATTAATATCCAGGTTAATTTCAGCGTAGAGTCGATCACTGATACTACCTTCATTACCTTCCGTTCTGTACACGGATATGAAGATTGTATTTTGAGGCTTTTCGAAGTTTGGTAGGTGATTTTAATCGTGTGAGTTTGACCCAAGGGTTGGGCGGGGTTTACTTTACTAAAGCACCGCTTTTGATATAACATTGTATGCATGGGTATAAGGCGACCCCTGTCTACAATAACAGACCTCAGAGGATCACGTATAGGTTATGTTTTGTTGGTACTGGGTAGTGGTGGAGTGGAGTGAGGTGAGGTGGTGGTGGTGGCTCAATTGATGAATATGCAGTGGCATCACTGAGCGCCTGCCGAGTTTGTTAGTTAGAGACACCAATTACCCAGTTGGTGATTAAATCAACACCCGGGTTAATCAGCTTCAGTAACCGGTGAGTGGGGAAGGGGGATATTCTGCGTTGTGAACAAACCGCCCCCACGGGAGCTGGGCTCGTTTTCGTGTCATGCCCGGATCACTTTAATTAATATCACTCCGCCAGCGAGAGGCGGTCTATCCCTGTATCAATACATGCGCGACGCTACGCTAATGGAATATTTATACATTTTAAATTCTATGCGACTTTTTATGTTGTTTTCGAAATGAAAAGGATAAGTTTTCGGGGGTGGGGGGTTAAGAGAGCGTCATTCGTTGTTTAAGCTAAGTACTTCAGTCTGCATGACGAGGTTAGTAAAGTAAAGTTTGTCCCGCTACGTGCCGTAAAGGCGCTTGGGGGGAGTGGAGGTATAGCTCCTCCCTTTCTTGACCTCGGCACTAG